AATTCTTGTATAAATTCAAATGAATGATTTCTCCAATGAGATTAGAGATAAAGTGGGTGGGATTTAGTGATAAAAAAGATATAACTATTAGAGAATTTTAATAATTAATTAGAGATTAATTAGTGTAAAATAGAGTTAACAAAAAGAAAGTTAATTAATAAAGAAAACAAAACAAAAAGAATAGAAAAAAATATAAAATTTGACGTGGCACTGACATGGCAATGACGTGGCAGCGAGTGTAATACACTACATGCTGTGAGAGTGGTGTTACACGTCTCAGGGAGTAAATAAATTCACTTTTAAGTAGTAAAGGTGTGTAATAGGTCGTCATAATAGTTGAAGTGTGTAACTGACTTTTCGGTATAAGTTGAAGGGGGAATTTATGCCTTTTCCCCTTCAGTGTTATAAACCGTAATGTTTGAACCCATCAAGTTTAAATCCTCAATCCGTCCCTGTCCAGTTGGAAGAACCAAGAGCACCTGTTTCTTTCAACAATCTACTCGTTTAAATCTCTCTCTCTCTCTCTCTCTCTCTGTGTGTTGTACGCACACAGCGCACACTACCTAATGTAATCTGATGTTTAAATGTAATTTAATTTTAGCTTAGCTACTCCCCTTTTCCCTAGAAAAATTGACCTGCTTACTTGGTGGAGAGCCAAAAGTAGTTTCCTTTACTAATGAATTTTTTGAGTAAAAAAAAAAGATTTTATCGAGTTTTTTTTTTTTTTTTCAACTTTGCGGGTTCAAAAAAAAATCGCCTGAAACGGACGTACGAAGCTCGGGTTATGGCCGGTTGATTTTTTTTTTTTTTTTTTCAACTTTTTGATTTCAGATTATGTTTTAAACAGCATTCCTGTAGTTTCTAAATCTTTAAAGTTTCATTTTCCATAAAACAAATAAATTCACCTCAAAATGAATAGAAAATTGGTCAGTTTGACTATCGCTCATTTATCTGGTCACCTTTTCTGGGCAAGGGTTTAATTCTTTTAAACTTTTATCTTTGATTAGTATATTGGTCTGTATTTGCTGAAGTTCTGTTATGGAGTTAGGTTGTCATCAAAATCTGTGTTTTAACATGATATATTTAAGGTCATCTAGAACTTATATGCACCAAATTTCCTCTCTAATGTTTAATAGTCTTAACTGCATTTTGCTTAATTAGGATGAGGAGCACTCCATTAACTTTGGTCTGTAGAAAGTTGGTTATCTGAAATTTTGTTAACTGCAAGAGATCATTTCTAAAATAGGGGTTTTGCAACTATTGAATATCTATTTTGTTGCAAGGGATTGATGAAAACTTGAAGCTCTTCTTTTTGTATGAGCACACAGGTTTACACAAACTTGCATGAAGGCAACTTGCTAGATTCACAGATGCTCAAATTAGGCATTGACTCATCATTTGGCATTGTATATAGTGTAGGCCCATATTTCATAGTGGATAGGCAATTTCATGAAGTTGCTGTAAGTTTTCAATATTGAATGGTGATATACCGCTTTAAGTGCAACTAGCACACATCATATTAAAATTCTATCACATTTGCTTAATTTGGAGGCTGGAATGTTTTCAGCCTTCTGAAATACTGGTATCTCTTCCAATACAAGGTATTAAAATGTTGTGTTCACTCCCGTAGGTTCTGAATTTTTACCCCTTTTGTACTTCTGAAGTTTCTCAATATGTTGTCTTTACCAAAAAGTTCGGCAATAAAATGTCATTAAGTTGCTTTCTAAAATGTCATTTATTTACGAAATCTTTCCTTCTTTGTGCAGATGGCGCTATCTGGATCCACCGCTAGGGTTTTCATCTTCAGTACAGTTGGCAATTTATTGTTGATATGTGGATAGAGCTGTAAATGTGGAGATTTCTTTCATTACTAGTGATCTTAAATATAGCATTGTGGTCATAATGAAGTTTATAGGCAGTTGTCCTCTTTTTGGTGGTTGACAAGCAATTTGTATATCCTTTAAAAAACTGTACCTTTTCCCTCTTAACTCTGGTTTGGTCCCAAGTGGCTGTAAAAAATGAGCTTAGTTGAATTGCCGTTGATCCACAAACTTTTGGTGAACCAAGGATTCAAAAGATTGATTATGTTGTGTTTTGAGGCTACGTATTGATATTGCTGGAGCATTCATATGTTGAGCACTCACATACTGCTAAGAATTGTTGGTGAATGGAATTCATCAATGCATAGGTTATCAAAAGAAGCATCGGCACTTCAATGGGCGTAGGCTCTCAGCCACAAATTATTGGGTGCATTACTTTTTTGCTATGTGAAGCACAGAATTAGTATGGCCAGAAGCCTATCATATTTTTGTTCAACTTTTGCAAGAAGCATTACGGAATCTACTCTGAATTGAAAAGGTCTGGGATCCAAGCATAAGATATGACAATCAGAAAGATAAGATGGATGACAGCTCTCTCAATCAGCAAGACAATTTAATTTACATTTAAGAAACAACTCTGGAGAAACCAATAGCCTCACAAATTTAATATACAAAATAAGTAGGTCATCCTTAACTCTTTGATTTTGAGTGCTTGACAAGCCAATCAATGACAGAGTCAATATTGGTGGAGTTTTTGCATGATATCATATAGCAGCACACCTCTCTGTCTGTTACTGATTTCAATCCCCTGCACAACAAAACAATTGTTCTTAAAAGAGTCCACATAGATATAAATATATCTGCCCTTCCTTTAACTTGATTTCCAATCTTAACCATATTCCAAGGGGAAAGATATGTATTCCCTAAATTCAACTAAGACAAAGCATACTCATGAAATATTGTCTGCTTACATCTCATCAGTCAAAGCCTGCTTGGACAGAGCTCCAGGTTTGTCAATCTTGTTCCCCAATACCAGCAACGGAATACCACTCAATGATGGCTTGTTCAGCAGGTCATGGAGTTCACTTTTAGAAATGCTGAGATTATCATGATCAGCAGCATCAACAACATAACTACAGAGAAGGAGATTTAAACGATTTAGAAACACAGTACTCAAGTAGTAGAAGTTCAGTGAGGTAAGTAAAGCAGCTTCAACATAAGAAACCGAATAAACAAGAGAAAAGATGCATACACTATAGCTGAAACTGCACGACAATATCTTTCCCACATACTTCGGAATCTGGGTTGACCTCCGAGGTCCCACAATTTTATAGTGACATTACCTTTAGTCACTTTCCTCATGTTAAATCCCACCTAAATATCCAGCAATGCTCATATTGTTATCAAAGAACCAATTAACATTGAAAGCGGTATCACATAACAACTTACCGTTGGTATCATATCTTCACTATATCCACCAGTCTAAGAATGACAAAAGTGGAGCAAATTTAGTCACGTCATATGGACAAAAAAGGTTAACGGTATATGTAAACGTTGGCACTAGAAAAGGTGTTAGTTATCTACTCACAGCAATAACATTTACAAGTGAAGTTTTCCCTGCATTTTGCAGCCCTATCAAAGAAAGCTCCATTTCCTGTTTAAAGAAGAGGCTGCAGAATGAACAAGTTTCCGTGAGCTCATATGAGGAATCAACATGTTGCTGTACAAGTGCGAATGCAATATGAAACTCCAACAATTTTATAATACTATACGTCTAGACCAGCTCAGAATCAAGATGACAGTAAGTTTCCTTTGTTTGTCTCTAAAGTGAATATCCAAATCGAAGTAATAACTACACGAAAAAGGTATACAAACACCAATAGCAAGTAAATGGTCTGTGCTCAGAACACTCAGTATACTATGAATGCAACGAGGAAGGAGGGTAAACGAAAATAAAAGCAATAACTAGCCCATTGATGAAGCTCATTTTTCTAACCCAGTCTTCTTGAGCTTCATCAGACGTTCAAAGTTTCAGGCATAAGATGGAAGTTCGAAAAGAACTCTTAACTGCCAAAATGTAGAATCGGAATAAGGGGACGCTGACAATTCTCTTGACAAATTATTTCCACCTTTTAGTATCTAGACCTTAACAAACTAGAAAAAGTCATCCCGGCTATAAGGTCATGTGATTCAGAGTCTTGTACTAAACACCTACAGATTGTGTTTCTAATAATAGGTAGTCTCAATGACAATGCAACAATCTATCTACAGAAATATATCTCAAGAAGACAGAGTGCCACACACATTAAGAACCACAACTTATGTAGAAAAATCTACAAATAATGGTGAAGAATCATGATAAGACTATTGAGATTTGAAATCCGACCTCTCTTGTTCATTCATCCACAGTTGAGAAACGGAATAATGACCTTTTCTTGATCTCCTATTCCATTTTTTTCTTTTTTTGATAAGGTAAAGGTTATCTCCTATTCCAATTTCTTTCTACTATATAGCTCTTTGCCTATCTTTCCCATGTCATCAATATCAGTGTTAGGAAATACGTATGATACAAGAGGCATATCCTAAAATGGTCATTATTAACAAAATTTCAGAATAAAATTCACAATGAAATCTCAGCAACTCAAAGACTTTAATACGATTCACTAACAATTATATAGCTCATGATGGAACAAACAAAAACAAAACTCATTAACCTAAAGGTTCTACACATCTCATCGTGAAACAAAAACGATTACTCATTGCTAATCCTGAAACAACCAAAAAAAAGAAAAAGAAAACCACAGCTCGTCTAATTAAAATTCCAAATATCTCAATCAAAACACACGGAGAACAGTCGAACACAACCTCCAATCATAATCTACATTAAACTTGATTAATTATATAGCAAATTATCAAAATGCCTAAACATAAACAAAAGGAAGAAGAAAAACACAATTACAACACCAAAATATTTCCAAATATAATCTAATCATACACATTTACAACAAAATTCAGCTCCATGAATTTGCTTCAACTTTCAAACTCACAACCTAGTAAGAGAAAGTAGTGCAGAGCCAGAATTCTCACAAAGTGGTTCAAAATATGAACAAATAAAAAGCCAAATGGATTTAAACATGTATATAAACAGTACTCTAATAGCTTTTGTCAAATGAACCCCGTAGCCCAACTTGACTCCGCCCTTATAAGAGCTCGCAACATAGACTCAATCTGAAACTAGTTAACAGAGACAATATGAAGCTTACCTTCGGAGCCAATTGAGAAAAGCTTCCCAGAGACCCATGGATGACGCGAGGTATCGGAAATGAGAGAGATAGATAAGCAAATCTCAGTATAAACCACAAATTTCTCCCTCTGTCTCTTTCGCTGTTGAATTTACCTTCCCTTTTTCCTGCTTACTGTTTGCCTTATTACTATCTGCATTACGAAAATTTGAGAATGAAATGATTATGGTACAACATTACAAAATTTTGATAACATTTGCCCCTAAAATTCAAATATAATTACGAAATAGCCATGGTTATTGGAAGCTACAGTTTGTTGTATGATGAGTACGTGGACCAATACGATATCATAAAGTTGTCATAAAGGGGAACACTCGCGAAGAAGTGCGCGTGAGAGTCACGACCAATGAAATTTAAAATTGGCTGGCGGAAAGTGAGATTTTGCGGATGATTATTTGGAGTGTATGTTGGACAAAAATGTTAATCCAACAAGTAAATGGCACGCGTGTGCTACTCATGTCCGGTCATCATTGGTTATATACAATTCTTAACCTTTTTTCGTTTTTTTTGGGTTCTTTTATTTGTTCACTTTCCTCATGAAAACATATATGCACAATTTCATAATCATATTACTTTCATAAATAGATAAAACATATATTTATATTAGAACACATATAATTATGCTAAAATATATAAAATAATTTAATTTGAAAAATATCTCTTGAAATGTGAATATATGGTTGGATTTGAAAGTGAGCATGACGTCAAACTTACAATTTCAAATTAAGACGGTGATGAATTAGATGACAAAAACTTATACTAAAAACATAATATTATTATATGAAAACTAATATAAAAGAAAAATATTAAAACTGTTAGAGAATAAATGCTCGGCGAAATGGTCTGGTGAACCCTTATACTTGTATCAGTTTGTATTCTGAACCCTTCTACTTACACCTTTGTCATATGTACCCTTAAACTCAATAAAACATAATTTAACAAATCTCGCTGACCATTGACCAAACTTATGTGTCTTTAAGATGGCTGAGTTGGCGAAAGTGTGTGACTTCACGCATCTTAAGGCGAGGGAACAACTTTTTTAAGTTAAAAAAAATATTAAAATTATAAAAGAAATATTTTTTTTAAAAAACAATTAATTAAAAAGTTATTTCTTCTTCCAAGCTTAATTGCTTTCCAATCTCCATCGTTGTCTGAGTAGTAACCTCAAAGGAGCAGCATCCATGGCGAGAATAAAGGTTCATGAGTTGAGGAACAAGTCGAAGACATACCTTTTGGCTCAGTTGAAGGATCTGAAGGCGGAGCTTGCTCTTCTCCATGCTGCAAAGGTCACCAGTGGTGCTCCTAACAAGCTATCCAAAATCAAGGTGGTAAGGTTGTCAATTGCACAGGTTTTGACTGTCATCTCACAAAAGCAAAAGTCAGCTCTTAGAGAAGTTTACAAGAATAAGAAGTACTTTCCTCTTACGAAAAGTTTGGCCAGATTTGATTGTGCGGTGGCTTAGGTTGTTGTTACTGTGGAGGTTGGAGGAGGAAAGAAAAATAGTGATGGTATGCGACGGAGATGAAGACGGGTGCGGGAGAAAGTTGCACAAGTGAGATTCTTGATGAAATCTTGAGAGTCTCCATTGATGTTGGAGTTTTTGGGGGTAAAAATTTGTAGAGGCAAGAGGTTTGCTTCAGTCCATGTATGGAGGTGTAACGAGCAGGTTCGTCCATTTATCCACAATTCTCAAATTCTTGGTGTTTACAGCAACAAAGGCCGTATTTTTGCTTTTACTCTTACATGTAAGCTCAACACAGTAAAAGGGAATAAACCCAGCAAGGAAAAGAGACCAATTTCAGTTCCAGGTTCTGATGGTGTGGCGCCACCAGTTGTTGAATTGGAAGAAGGGTCTGTAGGAAATGGTGGAAGGAAGGTGGAGGAGACGAAGAATGGTGTTGTTGGTTTTGGGATTGTGAAGAAATTACCTAGAAAAGTTTTGGGGATTTTGTCCAATTTGCCTTTGGCTATTGCT